CTTGCAGTCCCCTAAAGATCAACATGGATGTAATCAAGGGATCCATGTGTCATTTTTTTGCCTTTATTGAACTTTACTCTGCAAGATTTTCCAAGTAGACAGGGTTCACAAAACTTTAGCTTTTCGAATTTGTCTCCACCAAGTAGATTTTGTTTCCCCAATTTGGCCAGACCCCTTTATTGACATGGCCCAATCTCATGTGTCAAATTTCTATCTTCGGCAAAGGTTTCGTAGATGCAACATCTGCAGAACAACTGAAAACTTCAGCCTCAAGGGGTATACAAGCCTTGTTTCTTTACACCTCTTAAGACTTCCTTCGACCCCTTCATGACTTTTAGAATATTTTTCTCTTCTTGGAAAACATATTCGTTCTTGTCGAATTCACCAAGAGAAATCAAATTTCTCTTCAAATCAGGTACATACTTAACTTCAGTTAACAACCTTATTGGCTCGTCATGGAGCTTGAATCTCACAGATGTAACACCCACAATCTTGTAAGCTTTATTGTTTTTAAGAAATACAGATCCACCATCTTGATCACATAGTTCCTCGAACGAGTCTCTGTTTGGGGTCATGTGCCAAGTGCTACCTGAATCCATAATCCATTCTTTACTTGAGTCGACGTTTGAAACCACAATAACATTAGATAGGTCAAAATCATCTTGAATAATGGTTGTGTTGCCATTATCCTTACCTCAATGATCTTTCAAATGTTCAGAGAACACATTTCTTGTATGACCCTCTTTATTACAGTGATAACATCGAATACTTGATGCATTACCACTAAAAGACTTCTGCTGACTTTTACCCTTCTTCTTGTCGAACTTTCCATCTCTCTTTGTGAATTTCTCCTTAATCGATAGGCCTTCACCAATCGAAGATGACTTCTGTAACACCCCGCTCCCCAAAAATAAAATAAAATAACAATTAAATCAAGCAATTATCAGAGTTACCACACCAAAGCGGGATATCACAAAAGAAACTCAACAAAACACTTCATTAAATGGGTTTCAACAGTAAATAGCGAAATTATCATATATACATATATATATATCGTATTCGGCCATCCGCCCAAAATATACAAAATATTCACCAAAGGTTCCAACAAAACATGATACGCCACAGAGTAAAACGAAATCATCAGAAAAACAATAAACTCCCAAAGCCCCGTGTTACGTATCAGAGCATCCCTACGACTCGACTCGCCACTATCCAAGCTAGCTACGCACCTGGATTATTTGTACTTCCGAAGAAGCACAGACCACAACAACATCAAAGGGGTGAGAAATCATGATAAAAAATATAGCGGTAATAATGTACATGAATAAAAGGTAGAATTCATATGAATATCATTCAACATACATCAACCAGGACCTACTGTCCAACACCAACACATCACACAAGACCATGCAAAAATATGCAACTCAACACCATGATATGCGGTACCGACTCATCACCGATGGACACCTGGCCATCAATCCTCCACAAGGGAGCACATCATAAACATGATAGATCACATACACCCACCAATGACAATGATTTATCCCCACCATTCTCCACAAAGGAGTACAGGTGAATCACTTACGCTCCATCCGAGACATGATTCAACCCCACCATCCTCCACACAGAAGTACAGATGGATCACATACACTCCTCCTGAGCAACGATCCATCCCACCATTCTCCACAAAGGAGTACGGGTGAATCGCATACACTCCTCTTGAGCAACGATTCAACCCCACCAAAACATCATGATATGCACGACACCAATGCACAACAACAATCCAAGCACACAAGGTGCACACGATCCTCCTGATCACATTTTATACATCGCACATACTTATTCCACACATCACCACATTCATACATAATAACATACACCAATTTAATTATTCTAATTAAACGAATAACACAGAAATCACATTCCAACACCACACATACACTCTTAACTGTTCAACACCAATCTTATATTTAATCATGACCAACAAGGGTCCCACAACACAAGAGAACAGAACAGAACAGAACAACACAAAAACACAAAATTATTGTCATGCTCGCTGGCTCACTCGCCTAGCGAAGCATCAGCGAATGCTCGTTACTCGCTCGCCCAGCGAACTCCCTAGCGATGGCAGACAGTGGCTACTGGAAGCACTCGCTACCCAGTTCGCCTAGCGAATTCCTAGCGAAGGTTCGCTACTAGCTCTCCTAGCGAAAGTGTTGGCGAATATCTGCGATTTCACAAAAACCCCACTGTTCAAAATCGGCAAAACTCTCCGAAATCATCTGATTTCACTCAAACCAGTTCCCACAGCACTAGTTCAACATTCTACGACTTAGCTACCTAATCAATTCTATATTCCACCCGATAAAACATCAGCTCTACCGATTAACTCATTTTCGGCTTAAAATGGTAAACTATCGAAAACCCCAAATCATCCAAACAATCACTCTACCCATACATGCAACAGGTTCATCATGCTAACAACAATTTATAATTTCAACAACATATCAAACATGATCATCAATCTACCATGGGGTTAGGGAAATCCTCTCTACCTAGAATTCATGCAACAAACCAATTTCGACCCGTTTCTCCCCCCTTACCTCGATAACTTGATTAGATTGAAGAAGACTCGGAAATCCTAGCTTCCTCTCTTCCTCTTTGATTCTTCTCTTCAATCTCTCTTCCACTTGACTGTGTTCTTCCTCTTCTCCTCTTTGATCATGTTCTTCTTCTTCTTCTCTTTCCAATATTTCCTTTCTCCCAAAAACTCCCTAATACCTCCTCTCCATTCTTACTCCATTAATAATAATAATAATAATATTACCATTATTTATTAAATTATTATCACTAATAATTATATTATTAATATCAAAGTACAAAGTGTATTAACTAATCTCCATACTTAAGGGCACTCACTACTGCACTCAACCACACTCCCACAAAAGGCACACCGAAAATAAAATAACACCGAAAAGACTAGATAATTAAAATGGGTGTTACAACTTCCGCTCCTTTCGTTTGTTCAAATCCTTAGAATACAAGGCTGATTGAACTTCTTCAAAGGTCAGAAATTCTCTTCCATACAAAAGAGTTTCTTTGAAGTGAACATATGATTTGGGCAAAGCACACAACAACAACAACGCTTGATCTTCATCCTCGATCTTGACATCAATATTTTCAAGATCAAGAATCATCTTGTTGAACATATTCAACTGCTCATCCAAAAATTTATCTTCACTCATCTTGAATTAATACAGAGCTTGCTTTAGGTAAAGACGATTGACCAATGATTTGGTCATGTACAAACTATCGAGTTTTACCAATAATCCCGACGCCGCCGTCTCCTTCGAAACCTGCCGAAGAACCTTATCACCAAGGCTCAATAAGATGCCACCATAGACTTTCTCTACCATAGTCGTTTTTTGTTTGTTCGTTAACGCAACGTCCATGGTTGCGGCTCTCTTCAACTCTTCTAAACAACCCAGTTGAACCGGTAAGGTTTTCGTCTTCAAGCGTTACAGATCGAAATCGTACACTCCGGCAAACTTTTCAATCTCATACTTTATTGATGACATCTTCTTCATACTCACCACATCAATTTTTTTTGTAAAAAATGGTGCCAAAATAACAAAGTATAATCGATTTCTTGATCAACAAGAAACCCACAAGGGTAGAAAAGAGGGAAGCAAGAAGAATACAATGAAATTGATTATAAACTGCTATTTGTTACTTTCTCTTTGAAACAAGATTATAAGTATTACAGAATAGCAAATAACCTATCTCACCCTAATTATGATTTGCTTTATATTAAAGATGAGAGACTATTTAAAAGAAAACTAACACACTAACCTAATGTGCTTTTACACATAGACCCATTACACAAGCTAACTTAAACAGTTGAACATAACAACCAGACCCAATTCGACATGCTAACACTTCTAACATACTTCGACTACAACATATGAACAGACTTCGACGACATGCTAAAATCCTGTTGAATTGTCGAACCAAAAAGCCACCTTTCAATAATACTAGAGTTTGATTCAATATCTCACAAAATACAACATTTTTATGAGGTTGGCAAGTACACGTTACACAATTCACCAATGAAAACAATAGATAATTTTTTTGAGAATGATAATAACTTTACTTAAATACAATGAGTTTGTCACAATTTATGTAAATAAAGTTTCATAAAATTTATCTCTGATAAAATAGGATTGTTATTTATTTAATTTGTCACAATTAAATTATACAAATTCATACAAAATTTCCAAAAACTTAACACTAACATTATATTATCATGCCAACAAATTATAAATTATTTTATAATCTCAATGTAATATTAATGATTTTTTTAATATATTTTTTATTATTTCCTTTTTTAATTTTTAATTTTTTTTCATTTATAATAAATAAAAAGTAATATTGTAAAATTGTATATAATTTATCTTTCTTATATAACAATAATTATGTTTATTTAATTTGTGTAAAAAATTATAATAATTTTATAATTTAGAATGGAGAGATTACATTGATTGTTTTAAATAACACGATATTGTTATGGATGAGAATTTGTTTATTTTATAATAGATTAATATTATTTATCCGTATTATTAGAATTTTTTGTTCCACGAATTTTAAATTAGTTCAGATAAAAAGCTAAAAAGTGAGGCCGATTGAACTAAATACAATCAAACATTAATTAAAAAACAATAAAGGAAAAGGAAAGTCATGATTGAACAACTGTACTCTTCCTTAGAAGAAAAAGAAAACACAGAAATCAATAATTCTTAAAAAAAAAAAAACAAAGAAATCAATAATTCTTAAAAAAAAAAAAAAACAATTGAAACCAGTCGCATTAACGATCATGAATTCATAATCTCTTATCTAGAGTCAAAACCCAATGAATCTGTGTCGTTAACCACCACCTTAACTAGGTTCTGTCCTTGTTCCTTTTCTGTTACTTCAGGATTGGAACAAACACAAACATAAACATGGAACTTGTTCCATATTCTGACCCTAATTCCGCAACCACTCCAGCATGGCAAGAAATGTTCCGATCCGCATCCTCAAGACAACCATCCTCCACCACATCTCCCCACGCGCCATCTGGACTACCCCGCGCGCCTTCCAATATTCCCCACGCGCCGTCGTCGACAAGAAACGACTCCGACCCAGATGGAAAAAACAAATTTTCCGGCGACCCCCAGGTGAGACTCGCTTTATACATAGCCATGGCACATGCGGGTCTTGGTTTCGCCATTTTCATTCTCTACACTGTTTCAAAGCTCTTGGAACAGTATCTTAGACCTCTCCAATGGGCGGTGCTTTGCTCAATTCCTCTCAGGGGAATTCATCAGACCATTGTTTCGTTCTGGGCTAAGCCTCTCACGTTGGGACTCACGGAAACTGTTCTTGCTGTTCCGGTTGCTGTTTTTAGAGCTTTTGTTGGTACACTTGTAGAGATTCGAGAAGCTTCCTTCAGATTCATTCTGAGGAAACCGAAGCCTCCGAATCCTCATCCATCTATAAAACGTAGCGGATTTTCCAAATTGCTTCGTTTGTTGGTGTCTTTTGGGATATTGATCATTGCTTATGAGAGACTAGGTGGTTTTGGTGCTTCTTCACTTTTAGGGTTGGGTTTTGTGTTTAGTTCTAAGAATGTGGATTCGACTATGCACGCTTTGTCTTCTTTAAGGACTAATAGCTTCAGGAGAAGTGCGGTTAGTGCTTATTTTACTAGAAAGGTGGTGAAGAGGTTGAGTGTTTTGGTTGCAATTGGGCTTATCGTTGTTATGATTGTAGGGTTTTTAACTGGTTTGATTTTCTTTTCGTATAAGATTGGTATTGAAGGGAAAGATGCAGTTGTTTCTCTTAAGTTGCATGTGGAAGAGAGTAATTATTCTGAGAGAATTGGTGTTAAGAAGTGGATGGAAGAGAATGATGTTGCTGGAATGGTGGATAGTTACACCACTAAGTTCTATGAGACTGTTTCTGATCAGATTGACGGGTTGGCTGTGCAATATAACCTGACTGAAATTGTGACTGGAATTAAGCATTTTGTGATATCGACTCCGGCGAACTCTTCAACATCTTCAACAGCTTTGATTAAGCCTTCGCGATACACGGAAAAGTTCTTGAGTTTGAAAACTCGGGTTAAGAACCGCGAATGGAGTCAAATTTATGAAGAACTCGATTCACTTTTTAGAGAGCTTGTGATCTCACGTGAGGATTTGGTTGAGACGGCAAAAGGGTTTGCGTTTAAAGGAATAGATGTATCGCAGCGTATTTTGGCTAGTAGTACAACCGTGCTTGGAAGCAGTTCAAAATTTGTGTTGTCCATTGCTAATTCCATCGTCTCTGGAGCTGCAGAAGTTTTCAATTTTGTATCTCAATCAATGGTGTTTATTTGGGTTTTGTATTATCTCATTACATCAGAGTCTGGTGGAGTAACAGAACAAGTGATGTATATGCTTCCGATTTCAAACTCAACTAGAATTCGATGCGTTGAAGTTTTGGATAAAGCTATTTCAAGTGTACTTTTGGCCACCGCTGAGATGGCATTTTTTCAAGGATGTCTTACTTGGCTTTTGTTTAGGTTATACAAAATTCATTTCTTGTATATGTCAACGGTACTTGCATTCATCAGTCCTTTGTTGCCGATATTTCCGTATTGGCTAGCAACAATTCCAGCCGCTGTGCAACTAGTGATGGAAGGTAGATACATAATTGCTATCTTCTTGTCTGTTACTCACCTTTTCCTCATGGATTATGGTGCGTCGGAGATTCTTGAAGATGTGCCTGGGAATAGTGCTTATCTTACGGGACTCAGCATCATTGGGGGAATGACATTGTTCCCATCGGCTCTCGAGGTAAATTTTTACTCCTTGTTTTATTTTCGGATGATTAGTTTGTGAGTTTGATTTTGCGGTGATAAATATTGATTTTGAGGGAATTGATTTTGTAACTTTGGTTCAACCTAAATGTGAGTTAAGTGAGTTAAATGATTTATGTTTGGATACATTTAAAGGGGTAGAACAATAATGTTGAGGCTAAATACCATTTGTAGAGCCATTTTTACATTCCAATGTGATTTTCATCATGAAAATAAAGCTCCAGTTAGTAGCCTCTCCCCCACCATGTGTCTCCACTGCAATTTTTCCAGCCGCAATGCACTACCAAACATAGTCAAAGTCGTCTAGCTTTAAGTTAGAATCAATTATGAAAATCAATCTACTCATGAACATCTAAATATGTCAAAATCAAACTTACACCTCTAGAAGCAACTTTGTCTTCTCCAAAGGTGGAACCAAATATTCATGCATAATTCTTCAAAGGTTCCCGATGACTTGTACACATGTTAGACTCCTTGGTCTGTGTTTCAAGACGGGTTGAATGGGGAGCCCACATGCCGACTCCAGTAGCACGCAAGTGCCGAAGCACGCCGAATCAGCGTGTGCTGCTGTCCACAATCGAGATAATGATGTCTCTGTGAGCATTTCAACAATCCAGGGTCGGGCCACACCATCATAATCCGTATCGGTTGATGTCCCAAGTCGATTGGCGGACCAGCATGAATCGTTCCACATCTGACTGAGACACATCGCCGACCCCTATCCATTTTCCTCCCGACAATTAGCAAATCTGTGTTTTGGCATTTCGTGTCAACTTCCTTCTCTTGAAGGATCTTGTTTTAACATTTGTAAACTTGTTTACCTACCTATCTTGATTAAATTTCGAAGGATAATGGTGGTGGATAAGAAACTTGCTGTTAACTTAATTTTTGGCTTAAATATGTTTAGTTCTTCAAAAATATTTATAGTCCCTCTTTTCTGAAAATGATCACAATTGGTTACTCCTTATAAGCCGATCGGTCTGAAATCCCTTGTGAATAATAGAAAGTCATGTCAGAACATGTCACATGTACTTTTAAATGATGTGGTGTCTACGTGGCTTCCACAAAGTGATTTTTGACCGACAAAGTTATAGAGAGGAACCAATTGTGGTCATATTCCGGCAAGAGTTGTTAAATTGACCAAGAAGGGGTTTGTTGTTCTGCAGGGAGCTATAATGGGGCCATTGATAACAACAGTGATGATTGCTCTAAAGGATTTATACGCGGAATTTGTTTTGGAAGAACCTCATGACAAGGCCAAGAAGAAAACTAGCTAAGCTTCCACCTTGTTTATATAAAAGTATTTATTGGCAGTTGAAGTTTGCTGTAATTGCATCGGTTGTTGCTGTTGTTGGTGGAGTCTGCCTTTCAATTGTGAGAGTTTGTTTCTCAATGGTTAGTCATTTTTTTCTTTTTTATTTGTATCATAATTTATTTCTTTTTTATCCATTTTTTGAGGTCATCAAATATTTTGATCACTTGGTGACAGTGTTTGTTGAATTGTACATTTAGATCTGTATTTATTCATGTAACAATTTTTCTTATTCATTAGATTTGTACCTAAACGAAATAAAGACTTGTGCAAGTTTCTTGGATATAGTCACTACTAGGAGTTTCATAAAGTGTTGTCATTAGATTTGTACCTATCATTGTCATTTGTGATGATTAAAAATGTTGTTGGACGAGGTAGATGTTACAATAAATTAGAGGTACGAGGTAGATATTACAATAAATTAGAAGAATGCTTAGTTTCAACCCTCGGATGGATAGTTTAGTGCTTACAGACCTAAATGTTTTTCTGATGAGAAGATAGTTTATGATGTACAAATGACAAGTTAATACACTTTTTCTGAAAAGATAATCAATCAACCATTATAAATTAAAAAGAATTGATTATAAGATCACAGTTATAGATTAAGATCACAGTTAACAGAATTGATTATAATTCCAATTAAAAAGTTGATCTACTAATTCGATTCCTACCTATCATCAACTATTATAAATTCACTTTCTTGAGTGAATCCTCTATTCATGTTTGATCACGATATCAATCAACAAGCACAAACGATATTATAAGAATTATGTTTTTGTTTACAGAATTAAGCAATCAGTTAGAGATAACGCAAATTAACAAATAAGTTGAGTTAAGCGCGATTAAAACTAAGAAACATATGTCAATCGAACTAAACTAAACTATCATATGATAATCAGATTAAGCAAATAATAATCACATAACAAAATTGAAAGGAATAGAAATTGTATTGCAAAATTATAATAATCTCAAGGTTTCAGAACTTGAATACAACAGATCAACTTCGAAGGAGTTTAGTTCTTCATGAAATCTTAGTAAAGCAAAATTCGTGAATAGTGAATTGGTTATCTAAAAAGTATCATGGATGCTTATTGTTAAAGGAAACAAGGAATTAGGGTTCTAAACATAATCGGGTCGAAAAACATAAAAACCGGCCCAAAACTAATTACTTTCTTAAGTCTGAAACTAACACGAATTTTTCGAGTCTTCTGCACTCCGAATATGCTTCTGACTTCAACATGAAACTTTTAGCTTATCCTCTCAGCTTTCCAATGCCTATTAGAACGCGTCAATCCGATTGTCGTAGTCCAAGTTATGACCTGCACGGCGAGAGGGTGTAAATAGTTGTTTATTCAAAAAATGCCATACAAAATTAAAATAAATGTAACAATAAACTAAGTTAAGGAAACACACTAAAATAATATAAATAACAAAAGACACTTTAGAGTTGTTGCAACATAATAGTGAAAGAATGTGCATGAAAATGCACTGATCAAATTCCCCCACACTTGAACTTTTGCACTCCGAGCAAAATTCTAAAGTTAAAATTCAAAACAGAAAAATTAGAACAAAATAAAGCATGCAAATTCAAAGACTTTCAAAATTACAAGGGTGCAAGTAAAATCCTCATTCTAAGCTTTAAGAAATATGGTGTTAGTGAGTAAAATTCAATGACATTCAAAGAAAGTAAGAAGATAGTTTATCAAAGAGTACATCAAAAGCAGTAAGATCTTCACATGATAAAATTCACTCAACTCTCAAGTGTTTAGATTACTATTTACACTCAAAACACATCATGAAAATTAGTACTACCATAGGCTTAAAAAGACTCTAACATCCATAGTTAAAATACATGAACACAAAGATCAAAAGGATATTTATTAGGGTTGTAACTTGACTAAGATAAGGGTGAGATAGATCCTAAGTGGTACTAAGCTAAAATTCAAAGGAGTCAAAAGAAAATTGAAAAAAAATTGTGGAAGTTGAACTATTAAAAACTCCATTCATTTTCAAATAATAACCTTGCAACTATTTCTCTTTTCTTTTCTCATTTTATTCTTTTTTTCAATTTTTTTCTCTTTCGTTTTTTTCCCTGCTAACTTTTGATGTATCATAACTATCATAATTCAACTCTACACAACTCCAAACAAGACTCCTTCAACCCTCTGAATAGGGTTATAATATTTTTCCCCACTTTTCGACTTGTAGTGAGTTTTAAACAAAGAATGGGATAATACGATCTAAGGGCTTTCAAACAAGGAATGATATATTCAGGGTTGACTTTTTGGCTAACTGGTTAAAAAATAAATCAAAGAAAAACAAGTTACCTTTATCATATCAGTGTGCACAAGTAAACAAAAAGTTTCAACAAGAGTCAATTCAAATTCTAGAAACTAACAAACATGAGTGAAACACATAAGAAAGAAAAATATGGATTTTTGAATGTTATCCATTATTAGGCTCAAAATCTCACAAGGTAAATGACCTATCACAAATGATGCGCAATTCAGAGTTTAGTCCTACCTGTCATACTAAGAATGCACATCAATCAATCACATCACACCACAAGTCTTTAATCAATAGAACCGAGAAATTACTCACACAACACCTGCAACCCAAAAACCAACGAAAGAGCATGCAATTTTTTAAAGAAAAAAAACAAGGAAAACTGAATGAAAGAAAACAAATTAAATGATTTTCTCCCCCACACTTAAGACATACATTGTCCTCAATGAAAGAACATAAATATAAAATATGAGAGAGAGAAAGGAAGACAGACTCCTTGATCAAGTTGTAGTGTAAGTGAGTTTTTCCAAGGAAAGCTCTTCCATGGTTGCATCTTTAGGAACTTAACTTTCATGGAATAACTTCAGGCGCTGTCCGTTAACTTTGAAAACCTGATCAGTACCGACACTTTTTATTTCAACAGCATCATGAGGGAAAACATTAGTAACAACAAAGAGGCAAATCCACTTGGATCGAAGTTTCCCAACCATAACTTTTAGGCAGGAGTTAAATAGTAAGACTTTTTAGACAACAAAGAATTCCTTCCTAGAAATCAGCTTATCGTAGAAGTGCTTAGTTTTCTCTTTATAAATTCTAGAGATTCCATAGGCCTCTAACCTAAGCTCTTCAAGTTGCTGTAATTGGAGTTTTCTTTCCATACCTGCTTTGTACATTTCCAAGTTACAAAATTTGACCGCCCAATAAGCATTGTGCTTAATTTCTACAAGGATGTGACATGCCTTATCAAAAATAAGTCGATAGGGAGACATCCCTATTGGTGTCTTGAAATCTGTTCTTTGAGCCAAAAGTGCGTCTTCTAGACGACAACTTCATTCCTTCCTATTTGGCTGCACCATCTTTTCTAAAATCTGTTTAATTTCCCTGTTTGAGATCTCAGCTTTCCCATTGGTTTGAGGGTGATATGCAGTAGACACCCTGTGCACAACTCCATACTTTTGGAGCAAAGCTTCCATGACGAAGCTACAAAAATGAGTGCCTTGGTCACTTATGGTGGCGCGAGATATTTCAAAACTGAAAAAAGTATTGGACCTGGCAAAATTTGCAACAACATTAGAATCAGTAGTCCTAGTGGAGATTGCTTCAACCCACTTTGAAACGTAATCAACAACTAGTAAAATGTAAACAAAACCAAAAGATACATGAAAAATGACCCATAAAGTCAATTCTGCATACATCAAACACCTCACAGAAAAGCATAGGTTTCTGAGGCGTTTCATTCTTATGAGTGATGGTTGTACATGCTATCTAAAACTCTTTACAAGTGGGGTAAGTCTTATAAGAATCTTTAAAAATAGTAGTCCAATAGAAACCTGAGTCTAGGACTTTTCTTGCAGTCCTTTGAGGACCAAAGTGTCCCCCTACTTGAGAAGCATGAAAAAGATGCAAAATACACATCTCCTAATAACCGGATCACTACCAAATTTCCACAGATATGAATCATCTCACTCATAATATTTTGCATCACTTTTGAGTTTGTGAATTTGTGTCCTAGATGCACCTGCATGAAAAACTCCAACAATAAGACAATTAACTAAATCAACATACTAAGGAGTTATCTCATGCAGTTGTAGAAGCTGCTCATCAGGAAAGTCATCATGAATGGGAGAGGGATCTTCATCCCACTCTATTCTACTTAAGTGACCAACCACTAAATTCTCAGCTTCACGTTTATCTTTAATCTTCAAATTAAACTCTTGGAGCAACAACATCCACCGAATTAATCTCAACTTTACTTCTAATTTTTTCAACAAGTACTTTCAATTTGCATGGTCATCCTTGTCAATAGCTAGAAGTTCTTTTTTCAGTAGTGCTGTAGTTAGCCTATATAGAATCTAAAGTCCTAGAAGCATAATAAATAACATGGACATCCTTGTCAACTCTTTGTGCTAGGACAACCTCCACTTCTTAGTTAGATGCACCACATAATTTCAAAGGGTAGGGTCCAGTCAGATGGGTGAATGATGGGAGCAGAAGTCAATGCTTGCCTCAAGAAATCAAATGCCTTTTTGCATTTGTCATCAAAGTTGAAAATGACGTCATTTTTCAACAAGTTTGACAGTGGAAAAGCTATATTGCTGAAATCCTTTATGAAGCCATATAAAAACCTGCATGACCAAGAAAAGAATGAATCTCGCAAATGCAAGATGGGTAAGACAATGTAGAAATCACATCAATCTTAGCAGGATATACTAAAATTCCTTTTTCAGAAATTATGTGACCCAAAACAATTCCTATTCAACCATAAAATGACATTTTTCATAATTCAAAACAAGGTCAGTTTCCATGCAGTTTTCTAAAACCATATTTAAACTGTTCAAAATGCATCAAATGAAGAACCATAAACAATGAAATCATCCATAAACACTTCCATGCAGTTTTCAATAAATTCAGCAAAAATACTAATCATGCATCGCTGGAACATGCCAGGAGCATTGCACA